GGGTGGATCCTCCAGCAGCAGGAGCACAAATGTCTGCAGACAGTAGTGATGCTGGCCTGCATGCCCAAGCCCACTGGGATGCCGGAGGGACCTCCTTGGGCAACCCTCCATCAGGTCTCTGTCCATCAGATCTGGTGTGGGAGGTAATTGGTTTGCACCTCCACACTAACTGATTTGTAATTTGATTGTGATGACATGTTTATTTATTTCACTGGACTTCACACCTGTAACGGCTTCATAGTCAAGCCTAATACTCTGCATTGTTATTTAATTACAAGCTTGTATATCTGATTGCCTAGATTACTGAGAATTTTGCTGTCCTACCCCTTTCCTTCTAGTGTGATCATTAATCAACAAACATGTTAATCAGTTTGCATCAGCTACCTCTCGAGTCTCCAACCTGACGGGAAGCATCAGACCTTGGCAGTAACAATGCTAAAAGCAGAAAGAACCCAAAATGTTCCTCAGCCTGCCAGTGCCCAATTCTCTGCCAAAAACTGTATGAAGTTAATTAGTCCTTACTTTTGTCCAGGATCTTTGTATTCTGTGTGGTTTGTCTGTGCAGCTGCCCTTGGCTACTGAAAAAAAAACCCCTAATGCCAGAAGGTCCTTCCTCCAGAATCTAAGTTATCAGAAATTATTTCCAAATACTGCTGTCACAGAGACAGGGTAGGGAACACCAGCAGGAGATGAAGTGATGCAGGATTAATCTCCAGTGAATAAGCAGCCTGAGACAGACAGAAATCTCATCAAGGACAAACTGCTTTGCATGCCTATGGATGAGTGCAGAAGGCTGTAACTGCAGTTTCATCAGTCAGCTACACTACTCAACATTTTGGCAGAAATACTGAATTACTGTTTGTAGAGGCTGCAGTACTAAATTTCAGTATTCCCTGACCTGTAATTTCTTATGTTGCTGCTTCTACTGAAAACCGAAAGTCTGGCAACCATCAGTCATATTTAACTGAAGCTGAAAAAGACACCGTTGTACTACAATGAGACAATTTTCTAAATGGAAGAGAAGCTGGCATTGAACTTTAAGTTTCACAAATTAGCTTTTGGCTGTTGTACATTTTCAAACATTTTGGCGTAATGTTAGATACAGGTTAGGGATGAAGGTTCAGATGTTTGCCTTTGAGATACCACTGCTTCACAGCATCAAGCTTTTGCTTTGACACTCAGCCAAAAATATCTTAAGTGATTTTACCTAATTACCCTTGCTTATATGTCTACATTCCTCCTTCTTAAAAGTCTTTGCTTCCTTGCTGCAGATAGATGTTTCTACAAAAAGGTCCGATTAGCCATCGTGTTTCAAGTGAAGGATATGCTGCCATTGATTGTAACGTGTGTGCTAGACCCTACAGATACCATATTCCTGATACCTACCTTTTCTCTCTGGGATTCATATATTAGTCCACCCACAGTTTCACTGGTGAATCCAGGGCCACCTTTCAGCTTTTGCACACCTGTGCTCTCACAGTGGAGTTTCTTCAGCCCCTGCTTTTATCTGTGCCGTTGGAGATACTCAGAACTGGCCAGATGATGCCACGAGGAACCTCGATGGAAGTTGGCCTGGTCCGAGCAGGGGGTTGGACCCACTGCCCTCCGGAGGTCACTGCCCACCTCAGCTGTTCTCTGCTTTGAAGCAACAGGGACTGCAGCCTGCCTGCCAGGATGTAGCACTGCAGGACAGCTCGGGCTGGCAGGGACCTTGGTAGGTCCCCAGTCTGACCCCTGCCCAGAGCAGGCTCAGCCACGGGCCAGCCCGGGTTGCTCAGGGCTCCATCCCGCGGGGGCTGGAAACCCTCCAAGGAGGGAGATGGCACCACCTCCCTGGGGCCGGCCCCACTCCCCAGCTGTCCTCGTGGGGGAAAAGCTTTCCCTCGTCTCCAGCCTCTCGGGCTCTGCCTAGCTGGCTGCCCACCAGGACCCGGGGCCTTCTCCCCAGAGCTGCCCCAGGCCCCACCGGCATGGCTGCCAGGCCTCGGCCTGCCCGCCGCAGGGCTGCGCAGTGCCCCTGCCCCCGGCGCGTGGGGGTCCTGTCCTTTCCTCCCACTGGTCCAGTCCCCCTGGACAGCTGCCCTGCCCTTGTGCATATCGGCCGGTGCCCCCCAGTTTGGCGTCACCCGCAAACCTGACGGTGCACTTGGTCACCTCCCCAGGTCATGGATAGAGATGCTGAACAGGACAAGCCCCAGGGCAGACCTTGTGGGACCCCATGGGGCACAAGCCTACCAGAAGATTCTATCCAGCGACCACCATCTCTGCCCAACCGGCCGACCAGCCAGGTATTTACTCCCCTGCTGGGGCACCCACCCAGACCCCAACATCCAGCCTGGACACAAGGACATTGTGGGAGAGTGCTGGAGGCCTTGCTGAAGTCAACCTAAATGATATCCCCCGTTTTCCACTTGTCCACAAATCCACTCATTTTATCACAGAAAGCGATGAGGTGGGTGAAGTACCATTCATTCTTGGCCAAGCTGTGCTGACAGTTCCCCATCACCTTCTTCTCCCTCATGTAACGAGACGTGCTCCAAGAAGACACATGCCATGATTTTCCCAGGTACCTGAGTGAAACTGGTCAACCTGCAGTTCCCCAGATTGTCTTCTGGCCCTTTTCCAGTTGCCAGGGACCTCATCCACCTCCACCTCCACAATACAGATACAAACATGTAAAAAAAGGGCTGAATTACCAGTTGCCATGCCATGCCGTTTAAGCAGAAATTTCTCTTTCCATTGATCTTTTGCTTTGAAAAGCTCCCCTGTGCTAATTGAAGGTTAATAGTTCTTGCAGGGTAGCTCTATTATTTTAGTTAGAACTGAAGTCAGAGTTACTCAATGATCATTGTCAGGATTGTGTCCTTTTTTCATACTTCTCAACTTTAATTAAAGTCTTCTGTGTTTGAATCCTCTGGATATGCATATGAACAGCATGCCTTTGAGAAGTGAGATAATTACTTCCTTTAACCGAAGTATCACATGAACAGCCTTGTAAATAAGGCTATGCTGCCACAGAGCTTCCTTGGTGTTTTGCCCAAGTAGGAGGTGTAACAGAGCTCTACGTTAGCTCTATGCCAGGACAGAGGTAAATGACACAACCATGTTCTGTTCATGTGCAAAAAACTCCTCTGCATACTAATGAACATGGTTTATGCCTCTTTACTCTTTAAGAGAGAACAAAGTATATTCTTTGTAGGCTCTGATTAGACAATAGAGGTGAGCGACATGCCTGTATGAGACTGCTCTCGCATTTTGGACCACTTTCCTTTGTCTTCACAGATCTGAGAGTAGGAAGAGAAATCTTTCTAATGCCTTTTCTCAGTAGAGGATGGAGTGTAGAAGTCCTGGCACTCTCTATTGGTATAACGTACTGGTGGCTCAGCGATAACAACATTACCAAAATACCCATTTTGCTCTGGAATAAAACTGACATTACAACATACTGATACATAGACTGGGAATATCCTCTGCAGTCCTCACAAATAAGACATTCTAGTGGATGTCTTTCTGTGCTACCTTTATAGGTACGCAAAGACCAGAAATCAAGATCGGGGAAAATGTGCTACTAAATGCTCTAAAACACTACTCCCCTTTCAAATCCGACTGGAAGAAATAAACTTGCTCTATATTCTTTTAACTGTAAGGAACTAAAATTCTGAAGAAAGGTATTCACTGACTGCTAGATATAAGTGAACTCCTTAAAACATTTCTAAATTCTCACATATGGGATTAAAACTTTTTAAAAGTAGAGGCTAAATTCTTATTTGAGCACATCAGAGGCATAGCACATCACACCAGTCTCAGACTGAAATGAGTTAAGTCCTTAACAGAAGTGGAGGAACTAAGTAACAGATGACTTTCTAACAATAGCAGTCTATATGGAAAAAGGTTTCTTCTTTATTTCAAAGGATAAAAGATAATGATTCTATCAGACACAGAACAGAAATTTCTATGAACAAAATCAGCAGCAATTAAAGTAAAAAATTGTGCATGGATTTTATTAGAACACTTTGTTCCTGAGCAAGATTTACAACACAACATGCAGATGCATTTAATAATTTACTTCACCATACATTCTGCAGTTCTGACAGTGCAATTGTGACAGTTGTGCAACAAAAGTAGCAACTGAGAAAGTTTCCAGCATTTAGTAATTTCAAAAAGTGACAGGATCTTTAGTAAACAGAGCTTTACTGTTAGTAGTGTCAATGCTAAGTTTCCAATGGCTATCAACGTGAAGTGATTAATTTCAGCAACACATTTAAAGCTCTTTTTTAGCCTTCACCACAACTTCTACATTAGAAGTTTCAGCAGTCTTTACATTCTTTTCCACAATCTTAGACATGAGAGTAAAAACTTAGCACAATCAGGCTCTTTTCTAATGGATCAATAATGGTAGGAAGACAAAAGAATCTCAGCGCAAGTAACGTATGTCAGCATAATTCTGACAAGTTCTTTTCGCGAAGCACTGAGCTCATTGCAAGAGTCCTACATGCATGTGCAGCAAAAAAATGGCTCCACAAAATGTAATTACATATTCAACCAGGTAATGCTGATGATGTTCATTCCAAAAATGGTGTGCTGTGGGGCTCAATTCCATGTCTTTCAGAAGCACTAAATATTTAGAATCATAGAATTATTTAGGTTGGAAAAGACCTTCAAGATCATCGAGTCCAACCATCAACGATGCCCACTAAACCATGTCCTGAAGTACCCTGTCCACTCGCTTTCTGAATATCTCCAGGGATGGTGACTCAACCACTTCCCTGTGCAGCCCATTCCAATGTTTGACCACCCTCTCAGTAAAAAAATTTTTCCTAATATCTAACCTAAATCTCCCTTGCCTCAGCTTGAGGCCATTTCCTCTTGTCCTATCTCCAGCCACCTGACAGAAGAGACCAGCACCCACCTCACTACAACCCCCTTTCAGGTAGTTGTAGAGAGGGATAGGGTCTCCCCTCAGCCTCCTCTTTTCTAGACTAAACAGCCCCAAATTAATTGTGAATCCTTGTCTTTCAGGAAGCGTAAGGAATTCTGGACATCTAAATAAAAAAGGACAGTATTCCTTTTAAAATCTGAGTATTGCACATTTCAGGAGAAGCTGTGAATCTAACTTTTGTTAACTTCCAATGCCTCGCTGCATGAAAGAGACACTAAAAAGCTATCTTGAAAACAGAAACCTGTTTGCCAAGGACAATTTTAGCAATAAAGCAACCGTGGCTTCTTCAATCACAAGTGCAGCTCTTTCACCATGAATATTGAGTTATGAGGTTATGCTAACACAATACAAATATATTCCTGTGTTTGTCCAAAAAGAAAAGAAATACAACAACATGCAGTACAGATGTACCACTGATTTAAATATAACACACACCAACCGTGCATCAGAACTCAAAAAAATGGGTGTGGATAACCTGACACCACACTGCTCTATATGCTACTGAGAAGGAAAGGTTGAGGCATACAAATAGAAAACGTGTTTTTATTTTCAAGCAAAGCAAAGTTGGAGATGTGCTAAGATGAACTAAGAAGATGGGCAAGATTATTCACTAGAATTCACTTAGGAAAATGCTAATCACATTAGTGCATAGCTGTGCTCACCTCTGAATTAAGGATTACTAAATATATTAATGGCAATGCAAAAAAAAAATACTGTTTTATCTTTTAGTTTGGCTATCACCATTGTGTTCTTTGGGAAGGTCTAATACTTTAATCTGAACCTTATTCTAACTGACAATGGAAAAAACAGCAGCAGTTTACAGACAGAAAGACTGACAACTGCTGCTGAATGACACAAGTTTTCTGCTTTGTGTTTTGAAAGAGCTCAATTATGCTGGATCATTGAACACTTCACTGCGGGATGGCCCAACAATCTGTGACAGAGTATCCTGGTTGGCACTTGCATGCAGAAAGCTGCTTAAATAATAACCCAGTTCCCACAAGCAGAGTGCTGCTATTTAAGCTGCTCATTGTCAACAGTTTGCACACAAGAATAGCAATTTGTAGTATATTAAAAATCCCAAACGCTTTTAATGCTCTAAATGGAGGAGACAGTAGTGTTAAAAAGGGAGATGAGGGAAGACATATTTCAGATTTGTACCACATACATAAGAACAAACACTTTTAAAACCTCTTTGAAATGCCTGGAGGGCCCCTATTCTGCAACCTCCATGATTACTCCATGATTAGAGAGGACATATGTATTGTTTTCTGTGGAAACACTAAATATACTGACACAGCAGAACTGGGAAAAACTGACACGCACCTTAAGGAAGTCTCTCGGGAAAGAAAACTAAAATGCTTCCCTTTATCATACACCAAAACTTTTTCAAATTTATCTACTAAGCCTATATGGCAAGGGAAACTCTGGTAACATTTATTGTTAAAACACACATAAGAGATGGATTCATTAAAATCATACTTGTCTAGTTAAGCTGATATTGCCTCTAACAAGATCCCCTCCTGCTTCAGACAGACTGTAGTGTCACTGTGCTCCTAATGCTCCATCCTCAGTCAAGTCAATGATTGTCACAAGCGTGGTGGTCACACTAGCAGATTACTTTTCGTACCATGCAAGACTGCAATACTACACGTCAGTGGTGGAGAACTTTAAAATGTCATGAGCACATCACGTTCTTGTACACTAGTGTAGAACGGCTTCCCAAAGATAAAGGAATGTAGACCTGGTTTAATCTTCTCAGCCAAAGCCATTATTATGTTAAGATCGCCCTCTGCTGCTAAGTCAAGATCTACCTTTAAACTACGAAGAGACTTAAACGGTTTTTTTCCTTTTTGCCTGTAAGAAAATAAAAAAGGTGTTGTAAAAAAGAACAGAGGAAGTTTCTCAACACCTGCTTTCTATTATCTGTTCACTTACGTGTCATCCTCTACGTATTTTATTAAAGTTAAGGCTTTTCTGTGAAGGACTAGTAGAAATTGTGCAAGGAAAGTACTCCTTAGAGACAAGCCAGGCTTCAGATGGAAGATCTATTAAAAATTATACCAAAAAATTAAGTAGACATGGAAATTCAAGTATCATTTTAAGAATGTGGAATATAAAGAAACATTGCATACACACATACATATCCTTAATTATAGCAAAGCAGGCATATTAACAGCATATTTGTAGATATACGCAACATTCTTTCTTAGTTTTCTAACTGCTTAGATGCAATAAATTAAGCTGTTTTACAATTCTGTTTGGATAAAGTATTATTTTCCTTTTTAAAATGATATGAAATTAATCTCCATCAGGTAGCTTTCTCAATACGTAACTGTAGACACTTGCACAGCAACAGAAAATGTGCATTGTTTTTCATACGTAAGGAATTTCAGTATTATGCTACAAATAACACAAGTATTTTTCTCTCTAGTTATGCAGAGAAGAATCATAGCACTAGTATGAAAAAGAGCTACCAAGCCAACAAATTATCTTCATGTTAAATTATCTGTTACTAGGGCTCAAAGCACTGAACTTTAGTTCTTGTTCTTTCTGAAAAAGCAACAATTACCTGATCCAGGAAGGCTTTTACTAATGTATCTCGATGCAGGATATCTTGAAACACATTTCTATAGAAAAGAAAGCAAACAAACATGTGAGGTAATGCCTTAGACACTAACTGTCCAGCAGCTGTGCACAGCAACAGCATTACTGTTTACAATCTGGCAGAAATTAAAAGTGAATTCAAAATTTTAGTGATTTATAATCCTGCTATTTTTAAAGCTAATCCAGAATTTTAAAGCTAAACTTTCAGATGTTATTAACTAAACCCAGGAAAGCCATTGGGCCCTGTCAAATACACCTAGGTCTGTTATACACCTATTTAAAACAGGCAACAAAATTAAGATAACATGGTCAGATGTATCACTGAAAATGAGTTTCAGTAATATTTAATGCAATGAAACTACTGATGGAACTGGTAAATTCCTCCAAAACAAATGCAAGTACTGGAGCTGAAGAAGCTTATTAAAAACAAAAAAACTCATGTACTTTATTAGAAAGTACACTTTGTACTACTTTACTCTCTTGTCCCAAATCAAGTAACTTCTGAGAGATGTGACAGAGAAGTACATACAAATCAGGCGTGAAACTCTCATCTGTGTGGATAATATGATCTTGAGACATTTCTTCATCTGAATTAGCTCTCCAAAATGCTGTCAGCTCGGATCTCATGTATCGTCGTTGGTTATAGATGTGTTCATGACAAGGGGGCATCTGCTTCACTGTATTGACATCTACGTCTATATGTGTAGTAGGATATGGGGCATACATTACTTGACGGAAAGGCAACACAAAGCTTCCTGTTGCATCCTGTTTTAGTGAAAAAAAATTATTCTTCTAGTTACTTTTTTAAAAAAAACAAAGCTATACTGGAACAAAACAGTATTAAAGCATCATGCCTAAATTTTAAATCTCATTTGTTTAGACACGTTTTGTTTGAGAGAACTGGTGGTTGTAGCCCAGTAAAAAGTCCCTCATACTGGATGTTTCCCTTAATATAATTGTGAAAACAGGTACTGAGGTAACCTGTATATTACAGTATTGCATCATCTGCTTCATGAGCCCATTAACACTACAGTATTATATTTATCTGGTAAGTTTAGACTGCTTGCTAGAGCAAAAAGCATTATTTTTCTATTCAAAATACTTGGAAACTGTAGGATGGATGGACTGGGTTTTTTTTTGGTTTTGGTACAACACAAAAATTTAATGCCTTTTGGGATTCTAGCCCCAAGTAGGCAAAAGAATATTATTATTGTACCTCAAAGTACAGGAACAATACTCAAGAAGTAGATGTGTTAGAGAAAAGACTGGCTTGGAATTTTAACATGCAAATAGTTACAAGGAAAGTGATAGTGCCAGAAAGGAATCAAGGGAAGATCACATATTTCTTTGAACATCTATGTATGTGTATGCGTGTGCATATTATATGCACACGCATACACACATCAAAGAATGTTCTTAAACTACAGAAGAATAGAACTACCCTAAGCTTACTTACTTTGAGTAAGCCTTGAACAAAAAGTCCTGACTCGTATTTGAAAGAAGACTCATTTCTACAGAGTCTGGAACACTTCCGCTCTGACGGCGTAAGAAACAGACACAACGTTCTCACAATCTGCATTAAAAAGAACAGTTTTGAAAAACATGAAAATGTAAGGAATGAACTGATCTTCAAATGGAATTTCTGATTAGAATATATTAGGCATTTCAAATTATGAACAAAGAAGTTCACCATGCTTATTAGAAAAGCCAAAACTTTACCAAGGTCACAGAACAGTGACGTACTTCAATTATTAAGCTGTAAGCCATATTACTCCAACTTCTTGTCAAATAAAGAAAAAAATCCAACACTTTTTGGCAAAGTTTGTTTTTTAGCCAACTACATAGAACAAATCACTTTTTCCTTCTATTGCCTCTTCCTATTACATAAACATGAATTACTGTGATTACTTTCCTAGCCTTTTAAGCCTCTTACTTTATTCATTCAGGCACAGTCGATTTCCTAAATAAGTATCCATGCTTATTTCCTCAGTAATTTCCTCAAACTCTCCCTTAAGAGCAACAAAGGTACTTCATTATCCATTTTCAAACTCCTGTGCTACTACAGCTACAAGTAATCATGCATTCTGCTAACGTTTCAGTCTTAACCTGTGGAGTCCTACCTGTGTCTGTAAAGGTGTTTGAGAAGGCTCTATCCTTGCACAATGTGTTTGTGCAGTACCTAACAATGACAACCTAGTTTCTCACTAATGCTTTTTGCCACTTCAGCAAGATGCAACAGGTGGTTTTTTTACTTTAAGGAAAGCTAAAGTATGCCATAAAGAAAGCAATTACTTCAGAACAGTTGCACTGTGACACAAAGAGCACACTGCTGATAAGAACCTGTGTAGAATTTATGAAATTTACCCCAGATGTATCTTGAGACTCACATTTTTCTAGATTGTTTTTTTTCCTATAGTGTCTAGCTTATCAATATATTATTTTACATACTCATAACCATTTAGACCTTAAAGCCTTTTAGTTAATTATTTTATGAACTATAAGCTTTTTATAACCGCTTAAGCCTTTAACATTTCCTCTATCATGCTAACTCAAACATGTGCAAATCTTACATCCCTGAAACAATACCTATTAACTGTGGTTAGCTGATTTCAGCTAAGAACTGAGAATTTTCTTCTCTCTGGTTCCCCTGTTGCTTGTGATTATTTTTCAGTATCAGCATTTACTGTCTATTTCATCAGAGGTGCTTTACCATCACTGCCAATACATGCACCCCACCCCCCTCAATTTTTATAAAGCATCATGAAGTGCTTATTTCAAAACACAGGTTTACTAAAGGCGCCTTGAATTTTTAAAAAGACTATTATATTACACTGCAGCAAGAAGCCCTACACACTATAAAATACATAATATTTATAGTCTACAATTAATATATAATATTCTCAGCAGGACCACTGGTCTTAATTTTTATTTCACGCTGAAGCAATACACACAGATACATACATACATATAATCAAAAAGGGCATCAACTTTGAGAATTAAAATGGATTTTTCCTCAAAGGAAGGTTTCAGTCTTACAAAATAAACCAGAGCTCAATAATTAGCACATCACAATTAAAAACATAATCAGACAGAAAAGCCCAATATACAAAACCATTCCTTATCACAAAATGAAGTTTTCTGAATATACTTTTTCTCCACAGGTACCACTGTAGGACCTTTGTCATGGTCTCAGGACATGGGACTATTGTTATTGTATGGCCCAGAGGCCCCAGTGTGAATTGAAAACTTGTAATGCTACATAACTACACAGAACCTTACCCTCACAGCAGTATTGGTATAGTCATTAAGTGTGGTGGTGCCTAATACCTGAAGGCTCTAGGATTGCACTTTTATGAAACCTTTCTTTTCATTCCCAGTTGGAGGGATATTCTGAATCAAAGAGGTTTATTAAAAGGACACAGCTGTGAACGTAGAGAGGCAATTGATTTAGTGAAATACATCTACTCTCAAAGAAAACATTTCCTTCATGATTTATCTCTGAATATCCTAACTGAAAATTAACTTCAGTTTTTTTATTAGAAGGGATGGAGTAACACCCTAACTAAATGCAAGTCAAAGGGAAATCTCTCTAAACAAAATGCTGATGCATTGCAGTACACTAAAAGGAAATACGCTTAAGAAATATTTCAATGGACAGCAAACACAAGTGCATCTCTTCCAGGAGCTGCCTTCAGTTTATCTGAAACTAGCATTTTGGTAAAATCAAAAAGCTGTATACAAAAAAAGTACTTGGACAATTCTGAATAAGGAAAACATCCTCATTTGAATTTTTCCCTCACATACTGGGTAAGTTTAAAATAAGCATCAAGAAACGCTCCATTTACACTAAAACATTAGAGGAAAAGCAGGGCAGGTGATAGTTTCATACTGGTTCAAATTAAATATTTCGTAATAAGCTACAAGAGAGTTACTAACAGCATGGGAAAAAAAAAGTCTGACACAAAAATGTAATTATTTTCTTGTTCTGAAATGATAGCTTCCAAGAGTGACCTTTTTTTCCTCCCAAATAGACCATAATTATGTATACACTCTTCCCTTTTAAGAGGTACAGCTAATGCTGCTTATTTTTTCTAGACCTGAAAGCTCCTAAACATCATCCCTGATGTGCTCCAGCCAGTATGACACACTGAGTGTTTTCTTTTTAGAGGACATGTTTTCAGGGGTTTAGATCTGGACTTTGCCTCTTTCTGGTTCTTCTGGAAAGATGAGTGCCATGGTTTAACCCCAGCCAGCAACTAAGCACCACGCAGCCGCTCACTTCCCGCTTCCCGCCCTCCCCCCCCCCGGGGGATGGGGGAGAAAATCAGAAAACGAAGTTAAACTCCTAGGTTGAGATAAGAATGGTTTAATAGAACAGAAAAGAAGAAACTAATAATGCTAACACTAATAAAGTGACAATAGTAATAATAAAAGTATTGGAATATACAAATGATGCACAATGCAATTGCTCACCACCCGCCGACTGATGCCCAGTTAGTCCCTGAGCGGTGATCCCGGCCCCGCCCCTTCCCTCAGTTTATATACTGGGCATGACGTCACATGGTATGGAATACCCCATTGGCCAGTTTGGGTCAGCTGCCCTGGCTGTGTTCCCTCCCAAATTCTTGTGCCCCTCTGGCCTTCTTGCTGGCTGGGCATCAGAAGCTGAAATATCCTTGACTTTAGACTAAACATTACTTAGCAACAACTGAAAACATCAGTGTGTTATCAACATTCTTCTCATATCTAACTCAAAACCACAGGACTATACCAGCTACTAGAAAGACAACTCTATCCCAGCTGAAACCAGGACAATGAGTCAAACCTAATTTAAGATCTACCAGCTGAACTGTACACTTACTTACCAATTAAGTTTTAAACAGACTGAAGATGAAGTCAACACAAATACAGCTATGATGAAAAAATATACTGGAATTGCTGGAATGGTTTGAAGTCCTGATAAGCTTGCCTGTTTCAACATGTTTGTGTGTGTGACTACAGGCTCAGCAGCTTTGAGGTTCCACAAAACATGAGCAGTTCATGATGCAGAAGTACATTTATTCCCCAGCGTTAAGAAAAATTATGCAGATACTAATTTCTTAAGAATACATGGAAAATACCCACTGACATAGCTGAACTGAGCAAGTCAGTTCAGACCTCTTCAATTTGTGTATTGTAGCTAACAAAAAGCTCAGACTAATTCACTTGTTATATAGAGTATCAATTAAATTAAATACATTGGTTTTCTTATAGTTGCCAGAATATAACTGATAAGGCAATTTTCAGGCAGAATTATCAACTGCTAGATGAATCAGATGAAGTAAGATAACCAGACAACAGTATTCTGTCCTTCTTCAACCTCAAGCATGTTTATAGATAAACCTTGTTCCAAATAACACACTAACACTCCTAACAGCATTTAAATTTGGTTTATTAGAAAGTGCATTACCTTATTAACTTTTTCTGCGCTGCTTCCTACAACGACAGAACAACCACAGGTCTGCAGGTGTGAACTAATTGCACTGCAAATAAAAAGAAACATAGGTTAATACATTTAATCAGACTTTTCAAATAAAACAATTATCATCTTCATAAGAAAAATGAAGTGCTTCTAGTATAAATATAGGCCCATACCCATAGGGCCTCACACAGCTGTGTAGGTTACTGCTGAAATCCAAAAGTTCAATAGTATCTACGTTTTCATTTTGATGAATAAAAAGACTGTCACTCAATATCTCCAAACACCAGTTACAGAGCAAACAAAAACTGTCTATTGCTACTATCTAACTGTATTACAGAACCTGTATAAAATAACTCATCTAAAGTAACAGAAGACATACTAATAATGAAGGATGCAAAAGCATCTATACAGAAGACCTATTCCATGGTTGTCCCAGTTTTCTGAAACCGTGGGTCAGAAACCCGTTTTGGGAGACCTGGCAGGTAAACTGTTCTACTCTTGCTAACTACATGGGCAAGAGCATGTCACAAGCTTGAGTCCCTCAAAACATACACAGGCATGCTTGAAGTTGAGTGATCTTGTCTTGTGAGTTGCCAACAGCACACAGATCTGATTTAGTCTCCCTTAAGCTTGGAGGCTGCAGTAAATATAGCTGGACTAACCTTGACAACTCAACTTGTCCTCAAGAAACTTCTGTTGAGGTTTCTTATCCTCATCCTCCCTTTCCCCCTGTACTTTCTCAAACTAGCACGTGGCTGACAGCTTCAAAAAGTCTAGATACCCTAGATAGTCTAGGTAGTATTAAAAAATTTCTCCAATACCTGTGAATATACAAAAGTACATTTATACTGTCTTACTGAAGGATGCATTGTATGTGATTAACCAGTTCTAATAAACACCTCTAATTGATAAGGACTATAATAGCTACACTCAGACTCTGAAATCCTACAGGTGGACTTTATAGTGACCTGCTACTATTTCTCTTATCCAGTACATTCTAAGAGTTAAATTTAAGGTAATCTGAATACCTATGAGTTCTTTCTTTGGGGCAGAAATAGATGTTTAATTTCATTTAGAAGTTACTAAGAAAGCATAACTACTTATTTTAGAGATTGGTATTGTTAATATGGCAGTTAACTTAGTTCAATCCAATTTTTCTTCAATGACATGTATAAATCCATACAACATTATATTTAAGACTTGAAATCTGAACCTAGATGAGCTAATAAGCTTTGCAGATAAGCTAAAAAGCAGACATTTGGACCCTTCACACGAATGGCCACATTATTCTTTTCCGGGCAAAATTTCCAGGGAGAAGCAGCAGCACAAGAGATTAACCTGACACCCTACCGGCTACTACCTGCCCAATAAATCTCCATCTGTTATAAGAATAGCTCATCATTGTAGGATCAATGGCTCTAGTTGTTTACAATAATACACTCCGTAACAGTCACTTCATTATTTCCCAAATTCTCTGTGGAACTAAATACTACATTATTGTGAAGAATTAGTTAATTTAGCACATGAATTTCTGTAGTACTGAAAGCATATGTGACGCTGTATTAATAGATGGCACTAGGCACTACATAAACGAATGCGGTTACACCAGAGATGTTCTGAAAGGTAATGGAACATCAATTAAAATCTATGAAATATGCTTTCCCACAGGAAGAGACCAAGATGCTCTCACGTGCCACTACTTCCACTTCCACATTAAAAACAGGGTGAAAAAAGAGAAATACACAATTTAATAATAACCTTTCTATATGCCATACCATTACTGACTCTTATTCATAGTTTGGGCAGTAACCACAACCCATTTTTTTTCGCATTTCATAAAAATGTAAGACTTAAGAGTTATATCCTCATAAAGTTAAACATAATTATCAAAGAAAAATTATATTTGATGGAAATTCTATTATCAAGAAAATGACTCTGTGACAATACAGTCTATAGAGATGCAGCTATCAGCTCAGAGCCATTCTTCTAAAATGACAGCAACTTCTGCCACATTTTGTAGACAAAAATTTCAAAAAGCCACATACATATCATCCTCCCATCTCCTATGAAGAAAACTAATCTAATACATGTTCACATGCACATAAAGATAGATAGATAGATATATACATACATATACACACACAAGTTTAAACTGTTTTACTGCAGCATAAATCAAAACTGAAATTCTTACTTGAGAAGAAAGCCTTCATGGCAACTATCCCCGATGTCATCATCATTTAGTACCGTGTCACTTATCTGAAATGCAAGTAAATATAAAGGAAGGTTAGACAACCTTCTGCAACACATTCCAATTAATTGATTTTTGGTTTTAATGATAGGTGGGAACTGTTTGGGAACTATTTAAACTAAGTTGTAAGACTGTCCAAAAAAGCACAACCTTAAAAAGACCTTCTAACTTTAGCCAAAGCATTTTGAAAATGAGAAAGTTACTCGATTATTAAACGTTCTTCACCAGTCATAAGTCAGATTCCTTTCATGGCTTTTTTCTATAACCTTGTCCAAAATACTTTAAATCAGTGCATGAGAGATCACTTCTACTTCCTCCTTGAGAAGTCTAAACCACACTGAAACAAGTATCAACATTAAAACCATTTACCTCTCCATTCATTTTGCTACGCATCAAATAGCCTTTCCACTCCACTCTTAAAAACAGTATCATCCTACGCAGTCAATTTTGCTAAGTGCTGACCATAAAAACCACTGTTACTACTGTTATATTTACCAAACTACAACAGTTATGTTAAACCATTACCGACACCACTTAGGAGAACTTGATGTGAAACAACTGGGGTGTACAAGAATTTATGACAACTGTGGGGTTTTGTCCGCCAAAGGGAGTACCAAACCAGAGTGCCAAAGCCACTATTTTATTCAGAATGCAAAGAACGCAAGGACTTACATCTATTTCTTCTGGAACACTGTGTGATTTCATAGATGAAAGGAGTTCCATTACAGGAATGACTTCTCCGGTCAGCATTGGAATGATGCTCTGGCCCTGCACAGTAAATAAAATGCTTGAAGTAAAAGCACATTGTGCAGTATTAGAAGTTACTACTAACATGAACTTGCAATATTGCATGCAAAACACCTTTAACTTCCTATTGTTTGGAAGTGTGGTATGAGTGGAAATTGATGCATAGACTTCTTGGGCTTTGCTCATCAATAATTATGAATTGGAAACATACATATTGCTTCTCAACATCATGTCTAAAATGTATTTCCAGGGTCCAGTGCTAATTTTCACAGTCAGTTTGATTGGCCTAGACAAGTATTTGGAGTGACATAATTTGATCATACCATATTATGTGCAATTACTGTTAAGCATTTTAGATTCAAATCTGATGTTTTAACAATGACAGGAAACCAAACACAGGCATATTAGTTAATAACACACAAAATTACTTATCTGATTTATCTATCACAAGAAACCGAAGCGACAATTTCATATTTACAGTTTCAGAAATCAAATTCTTTGCACAGTCTTATCCGTTAGGTCTCCAACCACATTCCAACATGACAGACTCCGTATGTCTCTGTAACTTGAAAAGGTAACGACCTAGTGAAAAACCATCCTTGATAGGAGGCGAGCATGAATCTATGGAAGCTACTACCTTTACAGAGCTTCAAGTTCAAGTGACTTTCCTTTTCTGAAAGGTAATATTCTTCATAGATTTCTGTTTTACCCATAAAGTGATGAAATATATTGTCCTTCAACTTGTTCACAGCTTCCATCATCCTATCTTCAGAAACTTTGCCTCCTGTGCATGGCAGGTCATCAGCCACTCCAAAGTATCTTCCTGGATCCCAAAAATAAGAAGCAGCACCAACTTCTACAGTCACCAGATGCAGTCAAATACTTTTGTGATGGTGTGCCATACACATCAACCAGATGGCCCTTACCTGATCCTCCATTCTCTCCGTGCCTTCCAACACAATCTTCTGGAAATGTTCTTGCCTCTCCTGAGCAAGAGAAGCAGTTAAATATAAACGCTCTGGTATTTGTTTATATATGTATGCACACAACAGTCAAATGGTACAGTTTCTTCCCTGCGGAGTCACGCTTCTTAGATTCAAATTTCGATGTTCAAGTCTTTTTTCTTTTACAGAGTTGACATTAGCGGGAAGTGATGTCATTTTAAACAGACCAACATGCCCTGCTTTGCCCCCCACCAAACCTCTCACATGCTTGGCCATGAGTAGCAAGAAAGGGAGGGTGTGATGACAATGACAAAACATTAAGTTTCTTCATTACAGATCAAGAAAATGCCAAATTATCAGATTAAAGTGCAGAATTCCACTTTAGGTATGGATTTTTATTTTCAAATGGATACAGACTGATGGATCCTGATGCAGCAAGAGAAAAGAGAGATCTTCAGAATGAGAAAATTTTTTTGTTTGGGGAGGGTAGGAAAAACAAGACTTTTTTTTCCACATCTTGAGACACTGACAAGTCTTCAAAACATTGTTTTTTAACCAAGTACAGGAGACATGAAACCTCAAAATACACAAAAGACAATGTACAAGAGACTGGACAAAGTTATCAAAACAGACTCATCAGCATCTGAGTAGCAAACTGGATTCAAACTGCAACTTACAACGGAATCAAGTTATTATTCACAAAAAGAATTTGGCATTAATCACTGGAACAATCAATATAATACCCCCAAAATGGAAGATGCTGTGAGAACTAATGGTATCTTTTGCTCGATGCTGGCAGGTTACTGCATTTTTATTGATTACTCATTAGTTTCCTGTGACTGAACTACTCAAAGTTGATCAACTTCAAGTGGGAAAAGAGTTTACATGACTTTTTTTGAGCAGATGAATAGGGAAGAAGCTACAGTAACTTGCCCTAAAACAGTAATAAAACTTGTCTAACCATTTAAAAGAAGCATCTGTGAAAAAGAATACTGGAATGAGGCAGATTCCTTTGGGGCAACTCCATCCTTGAGTTCAGCGTCAGTGAAATAAGACATCCTTGACAATGACGATCCCTTGCTTTAAAAGAAGTCAGTCTTCATGAAGATAAGGCTGAACAGATGGTGTGAGCCACTTCTTTTTAGAAATATAACTGCTCAAAATTATTAGACAAACATCTGTAACATAAAATTGAAGCAGATAAACGGGGATTCTAATCCCATATAGATGACTTGCTTGGAGTTGCTTGTCTTTCTTTGCCAGTCTGACACTGTTCCATGTTTCTCCTAGTCCTTCAGGTGACGTTTCTTCTTCTACAGTCTAGCTGGAACTGTTGTCTGGCTCTACACAGAACTCATGAGAGCTGATAACCACAACCATTAGAAATTCCAGAACAGATACACAGTTCCTTTCAGATATGACTTCAACATTTTTTTGTTCTGTTGTAGCCATAGTTGCTGAACTGCCTCAAAACGCAAACTACAAAATGAGCCTGTTTTAATTCAGTATTATCATTCTACAGCTCATGCCTAAAGTTTAATCTACATTTTCAAAGCAGTTTTCTCTCTTCTAGGTATGGCTGCAGAACTGCAGATATATGCAGGAAACTTTGATCTTCCTCCAGAAAAAAAAAAAACCAAAAAACAAAAACAGACAATAAAAGTTTATTTCAGAATGTATCACTGTCTCAGCTAACCCAGCTGACCTATCTGCTTCAAGAACATCTGAAAAAGAATGAAGAACTTAATGACTGATTTCTGAGGAAACTAGTAGAAAACATTTTTTTTTGTCATTCTCAATGCCACTTGACTGTTATTTCTACTGTGAAAACTTACTGATATGGATCGATGTCCAAAAAGATAGAAGACCTACTATAGCTAAGGAAGATGGACAATTCTTATTTGACCACTCACATTAAAAGTCACTACGAAGGACACTAAACGACAGAGAAGGAATGTAAACAAGAACATGACATAGCATCACTTACGTCAAAAGCACTAACATCCAGCAGGCTTTTAGAAGACTAGGTCAGGAATGACATATTTGTGTCTACTATATTAGTAATAAACTTCATGTCCTATCCTTCCCCTGAAAAATAAACCCCAGAAGTATGAAGACCCAATGTGACAGAAAACACTGCCAGCCATCATCAGGCAATACAGCAAAAATCAATGGAGTTTGTTTGTGTACCAAAAAGGAAACACCACCACAAAAATTAGCATCAGCTTATTATTTCTGGAATCTTAATTAGTTCAGATAAGAGCACTCAAAAAGGAAGTCTAAAGTATGTTGACTAGAAGTCTCAAAACAGAAGAGGAACAAAAACTTTATCAAACATGCATCACCATACACATTACAGCTGACATGCAATCTACTGCTCTAAGACAACTTGTACTCCATGAAGACGACAGAGATTTTAATTTTTCTTGTTAGAATGTTATTTATTTTAAACAAAAATACATAACAATTTTCACTTCATAAGGAATTATCCATAATGTATCCAAAGGTAAGAGTTGCAATTCTTAAGAAAAATCTAGCATGTTTTCCTTTTTGAATTTCAAAAGCAGAAATACCTGGACTAAAGGAGATGTATTTTCGTGGTTCTCCCACTAGTTTTACACAATTTAACACCTGCCAAACTGTTTGTTGATACCCTTTTTTTGAAAAATAACACTGCAATAACAATGACAACATTAATTGCATCAGTTCCCTCTTCTGGAACTCAACAGTGAAAACAATGATTTGAAACACAGTAAATTTACAATTCTACCTAGTTTAAATACACTAATTAACACACTTAAAAGCGAAAATTTATATCAAATTCACAGAGATTAAGATCTGTACAGGATACCTGTTTCACCGAGATAGCCTGGTATAGGTTATATAATATTACCAGGATAAATCATGTGGCTAAAAACCCCAGCCTTGAATTTGCTGACATATTGATAACTTTTAACCTTCAAAATTGTATACTTTTAGAGGTCGACGTCCTCTGAGCTTTTGTGTATGAATTGCTACATAACTAGTGTCACAGAATCTTAATTCTTGCTTTTGCTCAAGATAACCTGGACAACTGTTTTTAGTAATGAACAATAAACTTACCTTATGCATCCATATTCTTCCTTTCCTTATAATATGTGTTAACCTATCCACGCATACTCTGTGAAGTGGCAGGTAGAAGCCAAGTTCACTTTGTGGAAGTATAATTGATAGTCCATATGTGCTTCTGTCTCCATTCCAGTTTCCATCAAAGATTAATGACACAATGATTACCCTTTTTTCTGCCAAGACGAAGAACTTCACATCTATTGCACCGCTTTCTGCATTCCGAAGTATTTCTCCATTCAGGGTGTGGTTAGCAAGAAAAGTTATTTCACCATCACTGAGAAGTACCTGTTCTGTCTTTGGGGCCCAGATATGCCGCACTCGGGGGCCAAGAATATTGTCCCAGTAAGCAAAAGTGGCAGCTAGTAGAGGTGACTCGCCATTCAAAGAGATCTCTGTTTTAGCAACTGCAGGAGATGGTGGTGGACAAAGAGCTGACATGCCTGCTTCCTCTCTCATGTATAACTGAAATGCTTACGTTACCTAAAAAAAAAGTTTTCATAGAAAAAAACAAGATCAGAGCTGCGCTCATTATTATCTCATCTTCTTTTGTTTCCAAATAAGACTTCAAGAGACAACCTGACTTCTACACCTGAGATTTCACTGCAGACTTCATTCAAGAAGGAAGCATATACGCATACCTTCCACATAATGAAGTGGTACGCTTTACAAACTTTAGTCAGTCAGACCTCAAATACCCTTTACTCACTACGCAAGTATGATGAGCCTGCACAACATTCAACTTGTGTAAGAAAACTGACAAATGCTATACATATCCTTTACATCACGGCGACATGCAGGGTGTTGCGATACAAGATGAATGTTTAGCACTTGGTAGAATCTATTGATGGAAAATTCTTCGTAGACACATAGACATTTGTGTCCGCGTACACACAAATCCTTAAACATTTTCCCTAGCAACTTACCCATTTTGATAGAGCTTCCCCATTTTCATGGGGCTGCAGAAGATAACAGGAAGTTCCACCTTCCCTAAAAGTTACGCTACAGTCACAGGAACACATTAAATAAGTTTTACCGACAAATTCAACCCAGGATGGAAAACTCTAAAAGCTAAAACACACTGATCTCGACAAAACCTCACATGACCAGAACCGAGCCTTCCTTTCCTCTCTGCCTGCAGCACTCCAGAGGGGACACCCCTGGAGTACCTAAGGAGCAGTAACAGCCACCTCACTGACACAGCTGTAACTCGCCAGGCCTCTGGCACCGTTCCGTTCCATGTATCTGAACTTTTTTTTTTTATCTCGTCAGCGTCCCTAGTAAGATCGTCCAGATGCATTTCCTCACAGCGGGAGGGTAAAGCACCCTTCTCCGGCTCCTTCTCAAGGCCGGCGAACCCCCGGGCCGTCCCCTGCCAGCCGCTGGCCAGCCCGGAGGGCAGCGGGGAAGCCGAGGCCGTCTGAGGCTCTACATGTGACTTCATAGTTTTCAGGGAAGACGAAAGAGCGCGTCAGCCACCCCTGCTCCCTTACGCTCACGGGCTGACGAGAGACTCCCTCTCACCGCCGCCTTTCCAGGAAAGCCAGCCGCGGCACACGACGGCCGCCCGCCCGCCCGCCGGCAGGAACACCGCGCTCCCAGCCTGGATCAGGCCCCTTTCACACCCTCCAGCTCTGCTCCGAACTTCGGAAAGGACCCACCTCTCGGGGAGGCGGCTGGGGGTCGAGCTGCGAGGGGGCCCAGCTCCTTCCCTCCGCAAACAGGACACGGAGACGACGACGACAGCCCCCGGGACGGAAAACTCCCGCCCCGGCCCCGCGCCCGCCTCACCTCCGCACCAGCCGCCG